AAGCGCCGCAAAAACTGTACAGGTGGCGGGTCCTTTGTTTGTCAGTCTTATTAGCGTTGATCGGAGTGATAATCATCATGAGAGGAAGGCGAAACGAGCAAGAGCTCGCACGTCGGCGGACACACCGATACAGTACCATACACGAGGGGGATATAATGGTGTGAAGAAGATGCGAACATGTGCACAGACGTTGGCGGATGAAATCAGTAAAAGGGCCATCAACGTGACGATGTAAGATTGGTTATTGATCACAGGGGCGCCTCAGACAGGAAGCAACATACAGCCACACAAGGCAATGATGTCAAGGTGTGGTTTTTGATAAAGGAAAAAAATGTATGATAGTTTTAAAAAAAGACGCAATCCGCTTTTTTGAAAAAAATGTTTGGTTTTTCGTTGTTTACTTTTGCCTCAATTTAAGGCAGCTTGCTTCCCTTGGGAATGGCGAGACGCATACATCTTCAAAATTGCCCGTGAGCGTTGTAACTCCCGACACAACGATAGCTTACGTTTGTGTGCCCGAGTGTCGCGGAAGTACTTTTGAAAAGAGAGGTTTTCAGTGCGTTTCAAATCTTCGTTCAGAGATTGTCTCGAATGCGTACTTTCTCCCCAAAATTGCGACTTGTAATCCCTCCCTTCTCCCTCACTTGCCCCTACATTGCCGTATCGCTCAATGAAGTAAAGCCTGGTGCGCTGCCCTCGCTTTTCTCTCGCAGCTCGACGTATCATGGCATGCAACGGGTTAAGCCGCGGCAGTTGAGTAAACATTCCCCCGAAGCCGAGCTTCAAGAAGTCCCAGTGATCATCCATCGCCACCTCTTTCTCCAAACCTTTGCCAGCTTTGTTAAAATAATCGCGAACTCTAAATGACGAGGACGACCATGGCGTGGCAGTCTGCGTCGAGGCTGCCGCGGCCGTTGCTGCCGTGATCGCTTCTGTTGCTGCCCTCCGCACTCCCGCGTGAAAATGATGAACTTTGAGAAGCGACAATTCCCAGGCACCCGAAGCCAGCGGATTGCTCATTTCCGGCTCTACGGCATCAGGCCGATACACGCCCATCGCAACCCGGTCGGTCTCTCCGTCGAGCATTTGTTCCAGGCCCGGGTAGCGAGTCGGTAGCTCCTTGACGATCCCCAGCACGACCTGTGACTCCTGCGGGGAGGTGAGTTGCAAAGCGAGGCCCAGAAGGCGCTTGTAAAAGGCAGCAACACGCGCCAGTGAAAATTCTCGCCGTTCCAAGAGGGCTTTCCGTAGGCACGTAACAAGCAGCGGGAAGATGGTGACGCCCGAACGGGCATCAGTCCTCTTCTCGTCCTGGTGGCTGTCGGCGGCAAGGCCCATCCCGACGCGGCCCAACAGCTGGTACAAAAAAGTCAAGAAGGCTTTATCGTCGACCCTGAGCTCTCGACCCGGACCTTGCAACGTGCGTAGGGCCGTGAGTACCGCGTGCAGGCTCGCTCCCAGGGGCAAATTTCGGGTCGGATCCAGCATGTCTTTCAACACCTCCAAGACGTCCACCACGGTGTCCAAATTTATGAGATGGGCTACGCGACTCAACCCCTCCAGCGCTGCGGGCAGCAAGGTCGGCTTCCTGGCCTGTTTCAGCACGCGAAAGTACAAAATTGTAACCTCCTGCAAGGACTCGGACTGGCACCGTGCCCGCAATTCCGGGTCTGCGCGCGCCTCCGCCTCCCTCAACCCCGTTCGCACTTCACTCTCTCCGTCCTCCTCCTCCTCCTCCAGCTGCTGGCTCTTCCGCTTCGTTGCATGCACGCGCGCCTTTCGTAGCACTTCCACGGCCTCGTCTTCCTTCACCACCAGTTTAAGCGCATGCAGGGCCCGCAGCATGTCTTCCGGCGCCTGCAACCGTCGATGTTGCATCTCCTTACATATCAACTTAGTCGCGGACAGAGACACGTCTCCCTGCTGGTCGCGTTCCAAAAGGCGCCGCACCGCCGCCCCTGCCATCGTCCGGGTAGGAGGATCGGGCCCCATGCCGAGGCGGATGACGGCGGTCAGCACGCTCGTCGTGAAGTTGAAGTGAGACAGCGCCGTCAAAAGCTCGCACAGACACTTGGCTGCCACGCTCCGACGGACCTCCCTCCCCGCTGGGGACACCTGGGGCTTTCCAGAGGGCGACGCGCGGCCTGCGTGACTCGTCCGCTCCAAATACTTGAGGTAGGCTTGGTAGCTGGCAAGCAAGACCCGCTCGTACTCCTGCGTGCGCTTGACTTCCTTCGACGCCTTCACCTGCAACTCTTTCTCCGTGGGCAGGCGGATCCGGTAGGCGGGGGCCAGGTCTCTGAAGACCGCCACCAGTGAGGCCATTGCCCAGACTTGGACTTGCTTGTCCTGATCCTCCAGAGCGCCGAGCAAAGCCCCCATTCGGCTGCCCCTGCCCCTCCATCCGCCCCCGGCGGACCGGCCTAAGAGCCCTCCCTCGGGGTTTTCCCAGATGGCCTCGCACAAGGTGGCAATCTCTGTTTTTTTCAACTCTAGTCGGGCACGTCGCATCGCTCGGACATCCCCTCCGAAGGCCTCGACGGACAGACTTTCAGCCTCCGCTGCAATTTGTCCCGGCACTTCCCTGCTGCCACTACGATTTTTAGCTTCTCGTCCGTTTTTCGGTCTACTGTCACCCAAGACTTCTGGGTCCGAGGTTTCGGAATGCAGTGCAACGTTCACGTCATCTTCGACATCATCCTCCTCCTCCTCCTCCTCCTCCTCCTCCTCCTCCTCCTCCTCCTCCTCCTCCTCCTCCTCCCCTCCTCCTCCTTTTTCTCCTCCCCTTGTTCCACTTCTCCCCCTCTGTTATCTTTTTTTTCCTTACTCTTTCTTGCAGAAACAACAATATTTACTTTCTGCGTGTCTTCGACTATTTCCTCCACCTCCTCTAGACGGAAGTGAAGCTTGCCATCGATTGTCTTGGTGGGTAGTCGCTCTTTCACCACCCTGTGCCCAATGCCGCGCGCCGTATTCCATCCTAATGTCGATGCTTTACGCCGCATGGACTTCTGTTCTATGGGCACCTCAACGCCGCCATTGTTGTCCTCAGGGGCGGTATGCGCTCGCTTGCTTTTTCCGGCCGACCCCGCGGGGGTGGGACTCCGAGGATCAGCGTCAAGAAAGCTAGCAGCAAAACTAGAGTGCTCCTCAACGAACGCACGATCTTCCTCGTGTATTTCCATGGTGTCATCTTCGTCATTCTCAATCGGGAGCTGCTCAGGCATGGGAGTGGCACTTCCGGGGCCACCGGGTCTAGGCCCCTTCCGCCTCACTAGACTGCTTTTTTTCGCGGGCACTGCACGTCCCAATCGCCCCTGGTCACGCGATGCTGCTTTTGTCTTCATTGTACAGCTGTGGACGGTGCAAGGGGTGGGAAAGCGCGGGATGAGGCGGGCATAAAGTATCATGTGGAGTTGGCTTTACGGGGAGGTGGCCTGAGTAGTCCAGCCTGAGGCTGAACGGCCCACAGGCACAGGAAGCTTTCCTCCCGAGGGATTACCGCCCGATTTTCGACCACTCTCCTGACCCCATACCCTTCTTTGACCAATCGACGTGTCAATCATGTAGTCATTGACAGGAAGAAGTTCTTCCCAGCCTCGGCAAGCTCATGTTTTCGGGTTAAGGCGGCCGACGTACTCTACAATATCATTTGCAAGACCTCTCCGGACACGTCCCCACCGCATCCACACTACCACCAAAGTCCACGCGTTTCCCGAAAAAGCTGTAACACATGGAGTTAAATATCGTTGAGATACCGAAGCTCAATGCTACTCGTAGCCAAAACGGAGAAAAGCCTCTCCGCTTCGTAAAGCGGCATCGTTTTAAGGCCAAGCGCGAGCGCCAGGGGGATACTAAAGTGGGTCTGGGCAGCTTGCGCATCAAAGAAGCTCCGTTGGTTGGTCCCGAGCCCACAGCATCAGGCCAAAAACCACGTAGCGTGAAGATAAACAAGCCGCAAGACTTGTCGTCTACAGCTTTGGTTCTTGGCAAGAAACGAAAACTAAGGGGAGACCTGCTGTCCGAGCAGCAGGAACACGAGGTGGACGGTCCCCTCAAGCGGCGGACAATCTCCCACTCGACGCACCCAACATCTCGCACAGACGTCCCGGTGGGTGAAGGTCATGAAGGCAAGGGAATGAAGAGTAGGCTTACAGATTCGGTCTCTACGCCTGTTGCCCCGGGACGTGCACCGTCCTCGGATTCCTTGGTGAGGGTCTCCGAGAGCGAGGAAGGCAAGCGGACTGCGCACTGTCGTCTTGGAAGTGTGTCAACGACATCGATGCCGAGGCCGTCAAAACCCTCAAAAGATGAAGATGACAAGACTGCCCCAACCAAAACGCGCCCGCCTACGAAGGCCAGCACCAGTCGCGAGGCGACCGATCCCTCTTCACGCGAATCGAGTACGGCCATCGACCTGGGACCTGGGGGTTCAAGATGTGGTTCGCCATTCACACCACTGTGCACAGGATATAGTCGTAAAAACCCTGCACCTGCCTCAGCTGCCCGCCTGGATGAGTTCCACATCAAACCCTCCGAGCTCGACATGGTCACTGCCGCAGTGCCTACCGGCAGAGATAAAGAAGGCGCTACAGCTTCTACCTCCGACCCAACGTCTGCCAGGAAGAGAAAAATAAGCAAACACATCTTCACAGCCACTCCCTTCTCTGGCCTTGGCCTGCACGAGCACCTAATCCGCGTCTTGGAGGCCCCTCGAGAGCACCACGGCTTGGGACTGCGTGTGGCCACCCGCGTCCAAAGCGCTGCTCTCCCCGCACTGCTTCAATCCGCCCGCCCCAATGCCCTGATCTGCTCTGAAACGGGGTCTGGTAAAACCCTTGCCTACCTGCTTCCTATCCTGCAGCACTTGCAGGCGCTACAGCCACGGCCTTCGAGGGCGGAGGGGACGCGTGCCATCATTGTGGCGCCGACCCGGGAGCTCAGTCACCAGATATACGACGTCTTGTCTCTTCTCGTCCGAGCTTTCATTTGGATCGTTCCAGGGCTGGTGAGTGGTGGAGAGAAGCGCAAATCGGAGAAAGCGCGCCTGCGGAAAGGCGTGACGGTCCTGGTGGGGACACCCGGGCGGTTGTTGGACCACCTGCAGAACAGTCAAGCCTTTCGGCACGAGGCCACGGAGTGGCTGGTGCTGGACGAGGTCGACCGGTTGCTGGATTTGGGATTCGAAGCGCAGGTTCGTGAAATTGTGGAAAAGTTGCGGACGGGCCGAGAGGGGGGAAGCAGTGGGCGAGAGGAAGCCAGGGCTAGAGTACAGGTGCTAGCCGCCTCCGCCACCCTGACGGCCGCCTTGGACAAGTTTGGGTGCGAGCTATTGGGTCAGCATGTGCGGATCGATGCCAAGACTGGAACGGTGGTAGATGTCGATGTCGCCGCGACTCCCGGAGGGGGGCAAATGGGGGCGACAGACGGAGAGGGAGGGGGCCAAGACGGGAGGCCGATAGGTGGGAAAGATGATGCTGTGGAAGGGAGGAAGGGTGAAAATTTACCAGGAGACGCCACGCCTAACGCCACTAGCAGTGAGATGAGCGATCATTTCACGACACCCGTTCAGCTGATACAGCAGTACATGGTTGTCACTTGCAAGCTTCGCCTGCCTGCCCTCATATCCTTCTTGCGTGTGCATGCCAAATCCCATAAAACTGTCATTTTCTGCTCGACCTGTGACTCTGTCGACTTCCACTACGCCCTTTTCGAGACCAGGCTAGAGGGAAACGAAAGAGGGGCGGATAAAAGCGGCAAATCCTCACATACGCTGTCGTCGGAGGACGCGGCGGAACAGCCATTGCTGGGCTCGGATATGCCCGTCTACAGGTTGCACGGCAATATTCCCCAAGCTGCGCGCTTGCTCGCATTCAAAACCTTCCGACAGGCACCCCGCGGAGTCCTGTTCTGTACTGACGTGGCGGCTCGAGGTTTGGACTTACCTGCGGTCGATTGGATCGTGCAGTACGATCCTCCCACAGAGACAGCGGAGTACGTGCACCGGGTGGGCCGGACGGCGCGGCGAGGTCGTCAAGGACATTCGATTCTCTTCCTCTTACCTTCTGAGCAGGGTTACTTAAACGTACTTAAAAATCGCGGAATCACTCTCACGCCCTTGTCATTGCAGCAGACGCTGTTTGAGGCCACGCCCGCGCGTTTTAAGGGACGCTTTCGGGCGCCTGAGGAGGTCTTCTGCCTGGATATCCAGCAGCAATTGGAGAGAGCTGTCGCCACGGCGAAGGAGGAGAGAGGTATGAATGAGAGGAAAGGAAATGCTTCCTCGCCTTTGCTCGCGCTCGGACGCAAGGCGTTCGGCTCTTTTGTTCGGGCCTACGCCACTCACCCGGCTGACTTGAAGCCAATCTTTGCGGTTCGTGCTCTACATCTTGGCCATGTTGCTAAAAGTTTTGCACTAAAGGAGCCTCCTACCGCATTGAAAGTGGGCAAGGAAGTGATGAAAATTTCCAGCCAAAGGCAAAGCGTAAGTGAGCATGACCAAAATGGGAAGAGTAAGCATGGTGGTGACGACTTGCGAGACACTGACAGCGAGACAGTCAGAAAGATGGCGACCAAAAATACGCAAAAAGCTTTTCAGTCACCTCGTAAGCGATCAACAGGTAGCAAGCGCAGGAGTCGCACAGCCTTCAGCTCTGTTAGTGAGTTTAGTGCGGGATAATATCTCTATAGTGAAACGCCGAAGTCAGACGGCTCTGTTGCTACACAGTTAGCACCATTTTCCAAGCCGAAAACATAAATGGGAATCAATACACAGAGTGTAAGTAATGACATCAAAGTACAGTAGAAGAAGTTCGATCTCACTTTTTTAGACAACACGTCAATGTTGTCACCTTGCAGCCGGGAGGTTAGCCTCACCGACCGTTACGCCTTATGGGGTGGTACGTGGTCCGTCACTGACAGTGCGAGGCACTAAAATTTTAGATCCCAAAAAATGTCGCCGGAGGTTTCTAAGAGTCCTATTTATTTGTAGCCTTGCATTTTTCTGCCAGCATGTTGACAACAGGATGCTCAACCCATGCCTTTAAATCATTTTTTGTGAACTTTACCGAGAATAAATGATTCTTCAACTGTGTCGCGTGCAAATTCTCCGAGGAGTCGTCAACGACTCGTAGACGACGTCTCGGGAAATATTGGATTCGATTCGTTCTGTCCTCCCCTGTACTGAAGCTGGGAACAATTTACAGAAGGAGTGTTTCAATATGCCGAGAGAAAACTAAACCTACACGTGGCAAGAAAGTAGGAAAGTGAGTTCTTGGCAATTACGCAACGATATTTTCCATTGATCCAATCAAAATGCATCACCCTATCATCGGCAAGATCCCACGATCAGACTTTTGAAAACCTGGAAGAGTGTCATAGCTTCGAGATGCACATTGATCTGTACAATTTACAAGTGTGTGTATGCATAATTTCGTGCCAATCTTGTGAAACGATGGTACCCGACATTTTATCAAATTTAGGCTGAGTCAAGAAGTCATGGCGTCGTCAAATTGTCCTGGGCCTGCGATCTCTCATGTTGTAAGGATCGGGGACCACGCTACAGAAAACCAAAATAGCCATTGTAGCGTTCGTAGTGGCCTTACTGAGAGCGGCGACGATCAAGCCAGAAATGACCACGGTAACGGTGTCGACTCCTTTACTCCTCTAAATCGGGAACCCAGCTACTGGAGCATCAGCGACATGACATTCACGCCTCATGTTGAGGAGGAAAGTAAGGCAGTTTTAAGTTGGAAGCACTTGACAGTTCGAAGCAAGCGATCACCCGAAAAGGCCTTGTTGAAAGATCTCTCGGGAAACATAACCGGAGGTTTCTGGAGCTTGATGGGCCCGAGCGGTAGTGGTAAATCCACGCTTGTCAACACCTTGGCATGTCGTTTGACACCTGGGATGTGGTTTGAAGGAGAGATTCGTCTGAATGGGCGCATGTACTGCCTGCATGATCTGAAGTGCATGTCAGGGTACGTAATGCAGGACGATCTCATGAATGGTGCTCTGACTGTATGGGAGACCTTGTTCTATGCAGGCGAGCTCCGGCTACCGCACGATATGACGGTGGAGCATCGGCGAGAAAGGGTCGAAGAGTCGATCGTTGAAATGGGTATTGGCCACGTTCGGGATGTTGTGGTGGGCGACTCATTGCATAAGGGTATCTCGGGTGGAGAACGTAAACGCCTGGCTGTGGCGATGGAATTAATAACACATCCGGTTCTTCTCTTTCTCGACGAGCCCACCAGTGGCCTGGATTCCGTCACGGCACTCTCTCTTTGTTCGAAGCTGAAGTCATTGGCCGCCTCGGGGCGTACGACCGTCATATGCACCATCCACCAGCCTCAATCCAAGCTCTTCGCGCTCTTCGACAACCTGATCCTCCTCAAGGCGGGAGAAATTGTGTATTTGGGGCCGGCCGGGAAAGCTGTGAGCTTTTTTGAAAAAGCGGGGTTCCCCTGTCCTCCCATGACCAATCCTGCCGACCACTTGATGGACGTCATCACACCCGAGCTTGGGGAGGATGCAGACATCGCCAAGGCAAAAGGAGATCGGCTCAAAAAGTACTTCACACCGAAGGTCGTTGACCTTCACGCGGGGTCGGACAGACCCGCCATGCCAATGCGACAGATGATCCCCTGGCCTAAGCAGTTCCACGTTCTCTTCCGCCGGTCCCTCCAAGAGCACAGGCGCAAATGGGTGCAAGTCGCTACTCAGATCCTTAATTCGATTCTTATGAGCATTTTGATAGGCTTTGTCTTCTACAGAATTGGCGACAGCCAGGCCTCGATAAGTGTGCGACAGGCGGTCTTGTTTTTCTGTGTGATCAACCAAGGCATCTTTGCTTCGCTCGAAACGATCAATTCTTTCCCCAGTGAACGTGCTCTGACCTTGCGGGAGCGGGCAGCGGGGACGTACAATGTCTCGGCTTACTTTCTCGCCAAGACGGCAACGGACACGCTTTTTCAGCTCCTCCCACCCGTGGTCTTCAGCGCCATCGTTTATCACCTCGTTGGCTTGCAGGACACTCCCGAGAAGTTTTGGGTCTTTACTGGCTTCATGATCCTCTGCCAGCTCAGCGCCACCTCTTTGGCGACGATGGTGTCGTGCGTAGCGCGAACGACGGACCTGAGTGTGGTCGTGTTGCCGCTCTTCATCGAGATCGGACGTCTCTTCGGCGGGTATTTCCTGCCTCCCGCCCAGCTTCCTTTGTACTTTTCCTGGCTATACGCCCTGTCCTACGTAAAATACACGTACGTGGGCATTGCTCAAAACGAGCTGAGTGGTTTAAAATTCACATGCTTACCGTCAGAGCTGGTCGACGCGGCCTGTCCCATCAGCAGCGGGAAGGAAGTCATCGAACGGCTGGGCCTGGACTTTATAACTCGAGATCAAGCGGCAGGCATCTTAATACTGCTCGTCGTCATCTGCCGTGTGGTTGCCTATTTGGGGTTGCGATTTATCAAGTGGTAGCCTTAGGAGGAAATACTCTTGAATGACTCAGGTTGCTCCACCGAACGAAAGAAAGCCTTCATCGTCGAATGCTGGCATAACATAAGGCACATGCTACAATATGGCCATGTCGTGCTCCTCCACTGGATGGGGCGGATAGAATACACGGGTCCTGGCCTCGCTGAAAAAGGCCTTTGGAAGTACGTGCTTGGTGCGGGAGAGGAGGCTTCGGCAGACTACCACCCTACATGAACAATGGTCGATTTAGGATAATTAATTGGAGAAAGAAGTGTAAACGTAAGGAAAACATGTCAGCCGGACGCATGATGGGCAAATGATTCGCGTGCTCCACCCTCTGGAATCTATTTCTAAGGAGGACAGAGATTTGCCTACATCGATCGGCTTTGCACACTGTATTTAGATATGGACAGAATTCAAAGAAAAAAGATTGAGATTGATTGCATGTCTAGAACATGTGATGTACCTGACCAGCAACAAACACGCGTACAGACAGGGCCGAAGGGAAAGCAATGATTTCTAGTATCAACTATTAAGCCCACAGGGAGACCAAAATGATGCGTAATGTAAAGTATGAAGCCTGAATTCTTTCCAATAATTTTCTTTTATCAAATTTCGCGCTTGTTGTGGTACATTGGATCACAGACTAGCTTGGACAAGGAAGCCGCTTGGATTCTCACGGTGTCAAGCTGAAGGGCGGCGTATTCCAAGGCAAAGGCGACTTTACTTGGGTCTGTCTCGTGTCTAGCTGCCTCAAACTCCTCTCGTAGCTTATCGCGAACAAATTTCTTCCGACGTATCGTAGGCATACCCCGGGAGGCTCTCCAGATCGCGCGATATAGCTGCAAGGCCTGTCCTCCTGATGCGATCGTGCTCAAGCGACGAAATGCGCTGAGGCCCCCGACATTCATGAAGTATTGATGTCAGTTCTTGTACACCTTTGCACTATAGCTATCCCTCAGTCGCAAGAAAAGTCTGCCGAAAAATTGACTAGCAAAAAGTCCCGAGAAGCAACTCGAGTGGATTACTTTTTCTTGACCTCCTACCCTTTTTCCAATGAAGGGTAGGCAGCTTCTTTACGTGCTTTAATGGGCTGCTGCTCGACAGGCTAGAGTGCTTTTGCAACACCTGCTTCCGGATCCGTGCAATCTACGCCTGCTATGTCAAGTAATGAAGTGAGGGTGGTGTTCGCATTGGGTAGTGCCTGAAATCGACACTGCCCCTCCTCGTGCTGTACGTTCGCCAAGAAATCGCCCGCCTTGCCCTGTTCCATGACAACTCACCACAATATTCATACACGTTACTCAGTTTCCCTCGATACAGCATGTCCACAAGCACGTTCGCGCAGTTGTGTGCGCGGTCGGAGGCATTTTTCTCTTCCGTTGTGTCATCACCCAAACTCATACCAGAAGCGGCGCGCGCGACCTCTGCTGCCACTCGCACGTCCCGTCCCTCCCCCGCTACAAGCAGTCCTTGCACGGTAGATGAGCGGAGGTATTTGTACGTGCTTCCGGTTCTCTTTTTTGAATACTTGGCGCTCAGTCTCAGCCGTGCCTTGTTGCCAGGCCTGATGAATTCCGCTTTTGGAAACTACACGTACCATGTCTTGGGCATAGTTGAGACGGCGAAAGGCATCCTGGCATTTATGGCATGCCCCTTGTTTGGGAAGCTCAGCGACGTCGTAGGACGACGGACTGGGCTTTTTATTACTGTACTAGGTACAACCCTGCCCATTTCTAGCTTGGCCCTGACGCAGAGCATGTGGATTTACGCTGTGGCTCAGGGCTTGTCAGGCGTCTTTGCTTCCACGTTCACTATCACGTTTGCCTACATCGCGGACCTGGTGCACAAGGAGCGACGATCGTCCGCGTACGGCCTAGCACTCGCCACCTTCGGGCTCTCGTATTGTCTTGGGCCCATCCTTGGGGGGTTCCTTGCCGAGCGGTTTTCTTACCGCGCTGTCTTCGCCGTCTCGGTGGCTCAGGTCGTCCTGGCGGTGGCGTACATTGTCTTGATCTTGCCGGAATCGCGCTCGACGGAGCAACAGCGGTGTCGACGGGGAATCCGTTTACTTGCCGCAGGGATGCCCCCCCCGGAAGATTACTTGCCCATGTCCTGGAGCCCTTTCTCCGTCTTGGAGGTCTTCTCGGGCGAGCCTCTCCTACGGAGCGTCAGCAAGATAGTCTTTCTGTACTACACAGGGGTGTGGGCCATCGTCTCCACCCTGATGGTGCACGTGCAGCGATCTTTCCACGCGGACGAGGTGACGCTCGGGGAGCTCATGTCCGCCTTCGGGGTCTGCACCATGCTCTCCGAGGGCGTCCTCGTGCGCCTGATGGTGCCCCACTTCGGGGAAAAAGGGGCCATGCAGATAGGCCTCGCGGCCTTCGCCTTGCAATGCACTTTTTTCAGCTTCGCCCGGCACATCCACGACGTCCTCTTTTCCCTCCTCTTCTCGACCTTGGCCAACCTTGTCTACCCTGCCGTCTCCTCGCTCGTCTCGCGCAGCGTGCCTCCCTCCAAACAGGGAGAGGCTCTGGGGGCCATGAATGGAATCCGGGCCCTGACCGAAGGCTTCGGCCCGCTCCTTTTCGGGTCCCTCATGTTCCTCTGCCAAGACACCAGAGCGCCTGGAGCGCCCTACTTGTTGGCAAGTGCGTGCAGTGTGGCGGCGTTGCTGCAAACGAACAAGCTCCCGAGCGAGGCTGAAATCTGGGAGTACGAGAAGAGGGTCTCCAAGCAAGCCGGGCTGCAGGAGGCTGTTGGACTCTTGTCGGAGGAAGGCCCATGTGAAGAGGAGGGGGAAGGCCCGAACGAGGAGGAGAAGGAAAGTGAGAGCGAGCAACAGAGCCCGGAGGGGCATCTTCCCAAGGACTTGACGAAAAAGTCAACGACGAAGCCGTCGGCCTCGACACTCCAGGCGTCCCAACTCGGCCAAAAACACGAGCCAAAACATGAGCTAAAGCAAGTTTGTTCTGTGTAGGGGCGGCCCTGAGGTAACATGACTGTAGAAATCTGGTGTAAAGAAAAGTATTGACCCTCGTTTCTAGTGACAACAGCCAAAGCTCGAAAGCGACAAAGAGTAGAGCTCATTCTCTGTCCATATGCTTGCAGTTTAATTTCATGGCGCAACTTCTGCTCGTCTGCGATCCACTTCTTGCAGTATTGCAAGGTATGTTCCAATTTCCACAGAGCGTTCTGAGGATGAGACACATGTGTCACCCTCTTTTGTTCTATGCTATCATGCGTGTGCTTCTGTTGAGCGTCTGCTGTACACGACATATTAAAAACAGGGCAACCATGCAAATTTCGATAATATAATATGCATATGAGTTGCTGGTAGAAGCTGCCATCTGCCCTGTCCAATGATTTCCCATTGCATGGTTCATAGAGGACAAGGACCAGAACAGGGGGATTGTAAAGAGTAGCTGGCATTGATTTCGTAACACCTTGATCTTCTCCAGACAACTTTTGTGGCATTAAGGCTAAAGAAAAGCGTACAAGAAGCGAAAAGCTCTTTCCCGGATCATACTACGTCTCCTTTGCTGGGTGCGTAGCGCGTCAGGAGGCTGTGAACCCCACGCCTCCACACCTCCGTTGATGGCGCGACCATTCTTCTTTTGCGAACGCTGATAGCACATTTTTTTGAAGACGCGGCGCCAGCGTCGCAGCAAATGTGAGCTCTTTCCCAGGCCAGGGAAACCATCGCCCCCTTCTCGCTTCCTGCTTTCGATAACCTCCTCCCTCGCGCGGGCGCTTAGTAATTTGTCGAAGAACTCATCCTCGCATATCCCGTTTAATGTTTGGACGAAGGTTGGGCACGACTTGCATGATGTGTGCTGCCGTAATGGCTGATGCCGTCGCTTCTTTCTTGTTTTACGACTTCTCATTATTGTTGTCCATGCTCACGTGCAACACATGCAGGAAGACGGACCGAGACATACTGTTCCCGTTCACCGCGGTGGCAAAGGAAGGATGACATCATCCATCAAAATCGTGTCCTACCTCTTCTTTGTTGTAACTCTATCACTAGCCCTCGCATTGGGCTACCTACGGCAAAATCCTGAATTCAGGCATCGCTGGTTTGCCAGCGTATGTACGTGCCTGGTGTCCAACCAACCGGAGCAGCACGCGATACGCTGCGACCTCCTGAAAGACGTGCGAGGAGACGTGCTTGAATTAGGACCAGGACCCGCTACTAATATGGAATGCTTTGAGGGCAAAACGAGCATTACATCTTACACGGGAATCGAACCCAATGTCTTTCTGCACGAAGTGTTTCGGAATAAAACCGCGCACTTATCTTTGCCCTTCCCCCTCGAACTCAAAACGCTGGAAGGCGAGCACTCCGGCTTGCCGGACGAAATGTTTGACACAGTGGTCTTCACACACGTCTTGTGCAGCGTCCACAATGCCACGCAGGTGCTAGCCGAAGTGGATCGCGTCCTCAAACCGGGAGGGCGCGTCTTCTTCTTGGAGCATATCGCCAGCCCCCCCGGGTCATGGATGCGTTTTTTCCAGAAAACGATCGAGCCCGTTTGGTCGGTTGCTTTGGATGGTTGCAAATTTCCCGATACGCATCTTCTCTTGGAACGGTTCAAAAATCAAGGCAAGGAAGGATTTGAGGTCATGTATCACTTCTTCGATGCGCCCATGCCCTTGGCTATCGTAAAACCCCACCTGATGGGCCACGCCGTGAAGAAAGGCAGGGAGGCCGGAGAGCAGTGAAAAAATTGTGCATGCACTTTTATAAGGAAACCTAGCGTTCGGTGGTTTGTGTGACAAGAAAAGGTCAAAGGTGCGCGTCGGAAATTACCCTCAAAAACCTACAGATACAAAGCAAGCTGGTATGTTACTGTCGAGACTTCCTTTTTGGGGGCATAGGGGACCATGTAATTCGTAGTCTTAAGCACTTTGAAATTTGAGTCATCCGTGGTTCTTCATGGAAGTTCTTCGCTGAGCTCATGCGGCGGTTGGCGCCACATTCGAGGGGCTTGGCCTTCTCTTCCCACCCTTGCCCTCCTTATCGCCATCGATTCTGTCCTTTGTCTCCGTGGAGCCGATCGCCTCACTCCCCCCCTGACGGTGACATGTCTCACGTCCCGTGATGCCCGGATCGTTAAAGTGCGCTGTCTCGCACGTGTCTATCAACGCCGCGGACTCTGCCTTGCCCATCGACCAACCCTTCTTCAAGAGCACCGTCAGAGCCAAGGGATCGTAGTACCGCAATTTCCTGTCACCTCTCTCTTGTCCTTTTCTTTTTTCTAATCCCTTTTTCTTCTGACCTCGCTCGACCGCTTGATGGCATCGACGGGCGCAGCTCTGTGCCTTCTTCCAGGCTTTGGAATTCACTACCCCAGGCAACCGCACGGTTGTCTCCTCAGCGCCCATCACAATGGCGTCCACCGCCTCCACACCCTGCATCATGCTGTGATCCTGGTTGCTGACTTCGTATTTCCAAGCCCCGAAGCGGCCGCGCGATTTGATGTCTTTTGCCTCCAGTGCCTCCAGGGCCCGCCCGCAAACCTCCTCCCTTTCCAGAAAAGGGGTCGGATACCCGTACTCCAGTCGACGATGGAAACGAGAAATGACCTTGTCCCGTTCTACGTTGAGAAGCTTTACAGTGTAGAAGCCTTGCAAGACCGAGTCGACGATGTTAGAGGGATCCACGGGCCGCGCCGCCGTCTCGCAGACCTCCGCCATGAGGGACCATTGCTGACCCGGCATGGGAACGTTATAGGGCGAATAATTCGAAAAGACTGTGACCCGGTAAAATGGACAATCGTCTTCGGGGAAATACATCCAACACTGGCCTTGCAAGTGAGCGGGCGGTTGGCCGGCCACCCCGATCCCAACGACATGGGTGGAGGAGTATCGGAACCGTGGCACGAGGGCAGGCAAGTCTTCTAGGCCTCTCCCCACCACGAGCCCGCACAGTCGATCCAACGGCATCGTGCTGATCAAATTTCTGTACGGCAAGTCCGATCCGTCCGCGAGCCTAAGTAGCTTCCTGTCAGCGTCCACGGCCACAATCTCTGAATTGAATCTAAACTTGCTCAGGTCAATTCCCTCGTAGATCCTCCGCCAGATGAAGCCTGTTCCTCCTCGCAGCGGGAAGCGAAAGGTGTGATTGGGACCCCAAGTGGTGTCGTTGGTACCGTTCCCTTTGTGCTCCTTGATACGGGTCAAATCCACGGTAGCAACCCGATCCTCCATCCAGGCAGCGTTCATCTCACTTGGTTCGTAACCCCAAACCTTGCGGTTATACGGTGCCATAAAAAGGTTCACAATGCCTCGGCCGAAATTATTTTTAAGCCATTCGAGAAATGTATGTGGCTTAGTCAGGCGTGATATATTCTGCTGCTGCATTTCAACGAGGCCGTCTATGCACTCGTGAAAGTCTTCCGCGGACAAGCGGTGGATATTGTTCTGAAAAGGATAGGGAATAAATCGACCTTTTTGCCAGATATAGCTCACACGCTCTCGCTTACACCAGTCTCTTACAATGTGGTCCAACACTTTGTCAAAGTAATTATAGTGAGAGAAGATCACATGGCCTCCTGGACATTAAGTTGCGTGATAGGGATGAGGACTCGATCGTGAATTTTAACATTGAAAAATCAAGAAAGCCATCGAATTGACACTTTGATGCGGATTTACTTTATTGATACGATATGGAAAGCAAACATTTGAATGAACGAAGTAAAGGTAGAAGAAACTTACCCATATCCCAAAGGAAGCCCTCCTCGTCTGTTGCCGTTACTGACAGGCCACCCGGTTCGGAGCCAGCCTCCAATACGATAAAGTTTTTTACCCCAATCTCATGCAAACGATGTGCAGCGCCTAAGCCACAAGGTCCAGAGCCGATGACAACGATTGGAGGCTCCTCTGTGGGAGCCATGAATCTATATCTCTTCGACGAGCACGGGACGGCCCCAGAGGGGGGAGAACATGCCCTCATGAAGGTAAGAGCTGTGTGAATAACACGATAATGGAAATACAGGCTGTTTCAAAACGTTGTTGATCATGGTGTGATAAGACAATCTTTATCTGATGTTGGACAGCATCAAGTTGGTGTGCATACTTAATCCCATCTCATTCAGACCGTTTCGAAGATCTCGTCTGATATTTTAAATTTTCAAAACTCATCAGATGATCATCCGCTGGATGTTGTGATGCAAGAATCGCCTGTGAATACTATCATTTCTTTTTGCTGCCTGTTTTTCGCCATTAGAGCTCTATCATTCAAAGGAATTATCGAGATGGGCTTCTTCTGGGTAGGCTGAGAACAACCCAATTTATAAGCTTGCTCTTCAACATAAACTCCCCTCCTTCGACGATTTTGTTGTGAAGTCACTCGTCTTGGAAATTTGATGCATTTGCAAGACATTTCAGTCTTATTTGTTTACCGATAACGACCTTTGACTTCTTGAATGGAAAGTAAGAGATGGTTTCCTCAATTCTGTTGATAGTTTTTCTTCGAATTTGTTTTGGCACGGATGATGGGGTTTTTGAGCGAGGAACTCATGCCACGACATCGACTTCCCAAGAGCTAGTCTACTGATACTTTTTGAGGTCTATTTCTTTGATTTTATGCTACGTCCTGTTTATTTGTAAGCTTCAGAAACCAAACTCGACAGTCCATGATGACAATTAAAAAGCTTATGCGAAATGACGAGCACAAGAGACGTGTTGCGGTTATGCGGACATACATACATACATACAATTTACGATTATGCGAGCATGAAATCTAAGTCCGCGATAAGGTTCTACCTACATGATGATAATGATGCGTCCAAATGGTGTCGATATGTTTCCTCTGTTAAGATACACTTTCTCTAGCCTTCTCCGTTTTTGCGCTCACACTTTCGCAGCCCAGTTATTTGCGTAGGGCACGACATGATGGATGGGCTCTACTTCAAATAACTCTTGTAGACACACTCGATCTTTCTCTTCTTAGGTACAAACGAGCCGACCATGCAAAGGGACATGGGGAAATCACCCTGCGGTTCAAGCGCGGGCCACTTTGGCGTTCGAGGGGCGTGACGTCACGGCCGTGAGGCAGAGCAACCAGGGAGCCAGTCCCCGCCGGGGGCTCCCATGTCGCACCTGGTGGAGACCGTGGACCTTATTATTATCGTTGAAAACTGGCCCGAAACTCAAAATAAATGATGAAGTAATCCGTCAAGGTAGCATTTTGTAACGTTTGACCGATAAAATGTCTCTAATGGTGATTTTAACTTCTTCGCTGCTCACTGAGCGCTCAATGTACCCCAGCCGCTATCTTTCCGCCGTAGCTCGTCCTTGAAGGCAACTCATCATGTCTCATTTCATCGACGCATCCACAATTCTCTGATATCATGCAGGCAAGACACTGCGCTGCCATGCCGCGACGATCAAGACATAAAAACAGTTGCGGTGCCAGCGGGGCGTCTTGCCCTAGAAGGAGAGAGGGACCAATTGCAGCCATACCATCGGCCTTTCCCCTCCATGTTGCTTCCTCCCTCCTCCTACTCTTTTTTGTGCTCCAATGCGTCCATGCATGGGTCGTACCAGTTAAATACTATAAACATGAATGTTTGAATCCCGGTTTAACGAAGATCAGTCCGTCAAGAAGACGGGGAAGCGGCGTTTCTCCATTGACGACGTCTCGAGCGACAGCAGCCTCCTGGGCGACTACTCGCGATGGCTACGGTGCGGGACACACTGAGGGAGAAGGCGCAGATGACACCGCCAGTGGTATCAAAGGCATTGGTGGTGTGAATCGTCGTGCCAGATCCAGGCCTGGGGCGGCGATGGAGGAAGTGCGGCCACCACGAGAGGCAAGGAAACCATCTTGGAAACCGCGAGGGAAGAGCCAGGCGCATGCCTCGACCGGGCCAAGTCGGAGCAAGCCAAATATACAGCGGCCTTCCAATCCACGGCAGCCTTACAATGCGGATTATCATCGTCCCAGTGGGGAATGGAATCGAGGGAAACAAATAACGAGCTTTTTGCGCAACGCAGGGGACGAGGGCGGGCATCACGGAATAATGGAGGTGGTGACGTCCCACTTGAGTGAACTCAACTCCGTGCATTGCACCATGGTATTGAACCGTTTAAGCAAAACGCCGCCTTCCGAACGTGATACTGTGCTGCAGTCTTCCGGCTTCGGGACCTTGATGGAGCGGGTGGAGCAGGTAATGGAGCAATTTAGCAATCGTGACATCGCTCAAGCGGCGATCAGCTTGGCCCGCTTCCGTGACCCGCGTAGAATGGGACAATGGCAGGGTCTGATCCGGGCCTTGCAAGACAAGGCAAAAATGTCGCTGACGGAGATGACCACCAAGGAGCTGGCCATGATTGTGAATGCCTTTGCCAACCTGCCGGAGCCCCCAGGGCCTGCCTACTGGGACGCATTCTCCCAGGTTTTTTTGGAGAAGGCCAGCGACTTCGACAAGCAAGGCCTCTCCATGGTCATAAACGGCATGAGCAAGATCCTCTACCGCCCGCCCCCGGAGGTGCTTCATGCCGTGGAGGCCCTCACCCTGGACTTGATGGAGACGTGCAACACCCAAGAGCTGGCGAACATATTGAACGGTTTCGGCAAGCTGGACCACGTCCCGTCTTCTGACTATCTGGCCCGCTTTGAACTTCTCTCCCAGCCCAAACTTCCTCAATTCCAGCCCCAGGAGCTCTCAATGACTTTCAATGCCATGAGTCGCATCGGCTACCGTCCAAGTGACAGCTATTTGCAGGCGTTCGAAGCCGCGTGCATCCAAGCCTTACCCCAATTCAAGACCCAAGAGTCGGCCATGACCATCAATGCCTTCACCAAAATGGCGGACTTTGTTCCGTCCCCTGCTTTCTTCGCCGAAGTAGAGCGTTGTGTCATTCAAAAAGCTGGCCAGCACCGCGCACAAGAAGTGGCTAATACCATCCACGGGCTGGGCCGCCTAGGCTATGACCCGTCTCCACGTTTTGTGGAGGCCTTTGCTGAGCACGGAATGGTCTTAATGGACAAAATGAAGACGCAAGAACTCGGCAATTTGATCAACGGCTTGAGCAAGATGACGTACCGGCCGGCCCCTGCCTTCTTCTTGCGGTTCATGGACGTGTCCCAGCCAAAATTGCGCTATTTCACCACACAGGAATTGTCGAACGTCGTGAATGGTCTGATGCGCCTGGGGTGCAAGCCGGATGAAGAGTACCTGCGGGCGACGGTGCAGATGGCGGCCAGGCACTTGTCGGAGTACAAGGAGCAAGAGCTCGCTTGCTTGTTCCACGCCTACGGCCGCATGCTCTTCTTTCCCGGGACGGGCTTTATGGAGGCATATGAGATGGAGTTTGGACGGCGAGTGGCCTCTGGAGTGAACAGTCAAGCCCTGGCCATGACGTTGAACGCCTTCAACCGCCTGAATTGGAAACCTTCTCCACGGCTCCTGCTTGAGATGGAAAAGTCGCTTGAATGTGCCACCTGCGAAGGACTCATTTTCGGGGCCGAGCTCGCGCAAGCCGTCAATGGCTTGGCTAATCTAAACCACACTCCGGGGCGCTCATTCCTGGCGGCATTCAAGAACGTCATCCTCGAACAAAAGAATTACGTGGACCTGTCGACGATCGCCGTCATACTCTGGTCGCTCTCCGCCCTCGACCCGGCCCGCATGAAAGGGTTCTACACGGAGATGGTGGAGGTAGCCTGTCGCCGGCTTGAAGGCGAGCAGCCTGATATCTTGCCAACCTCTTTCTCAGGCGAGCGCTCGTCCATGTACTACACCTCGTTCAACGAGGTGGTTCCGACGATCGGGGGCGAGTCCTTGGAGCCGCCCATGGTCATGTGTGTCCGACAACTTCTGCAGACATGCCGCTACTTGACAATGCTGGCCAACCCGATCGATCCCGCCCTTTTCCAACGTTTCTCTTCTCTTCTCGAGAAGAAGTGGGCCGAGATCCAGCGAGAGAAGTACGAAGTGCACACATCTTATTTCCACCGGGACGTCTTGGCTGTTGTTACGAAAAGCTTGGGCTTGCGCTGCGACATCGAAGTGGAGGATGAAGCTTACACACTGGACATGGTCATCTACCCGACGGACGGAGGATTGCCTGTGGTTGTGGAGGCTGACGGTCCGCACCACTTTTTTCGCAATCAGCCGGACGAGGCCATGGGCTTCACCGTGTTCAAGCACAGGCTCTTACAAGGCCGCTCGGACAGATGGAGGGCTGTTGTGTCGGTGTCCCAAGCGGAGTGGCAAAGGGCGAAGGAAAGCGATTCTCAACGGGGACGGACGGCCCTGCTGATTGAGAAGCTGAGGGGAGCTGGCTTGGACTTGGAGGAGGTGACAGAGGCGGTAGTAGACCCGCCCATTTGAGGAAGAACAAGGGAGAATCGAAAGTTGAGAGCCAAAAAATGAGCAATGACGAGAAAATGTGTAATTAACTGTTAAGAGCGAGATAACTGTCGACCATTTGGGGTCGCAAAAGCCGCGTACGCGTTCAAGCACGAAATGACAGTCCGGATGCCATAATGAACAAAATACTGACCCAAAGAATGATCACGTCTGATTCCTGTCACGTGCTTGGTGCATTTATAGTTCACGAGTATGGCGATACATTTTTGTCAAATATTCCCCAATCTTGCTTTTGGTCTTCGTGACTCTCGGGCCTTATTCCCTAATTTACTGGTACCCACCCTCTGCGGCCGCACATGGCATCGTCTTTGTTGCCATCAAATTTTCATCATGTGACGTCTTGTTTGTGGTTTGTCTGAAGCTCGCGTTCAATTTTAATGATCAATATTACAATCAGAGCTTGAAAACTATGAGAAATGTACACTGCTTCCCAATTGTCCACATAAAATATGCTAATCAATCCGGTCCGTGACCTCGCGTGGCCTGAATCCCCATACATGACGCCCCGTGTCTACCTCCGCCTTTGTCTTTTATTGTCTGCGATCACTCGCCAAGACGGGACGAAGCAAAGGACAACTACACGTCTTAA